GACTTAAGGAGCTTACCAGACTTGAAGAACTCATGAACGGCAGAGCACAGTTCTTTGCCAACGATATCCCAGGCAGCCTTGAAAAATTTAGCAGTGAACCCGTCAGGACCGGGCGCCTTGTCATCACCAATCTGGAAGAGGGCCTGCTTTATCTCAGAGTCGGAAATGGGCACGAGCATCGAGGCAGCCTGCTCGGCATTAAGCTTATTAGAAAAAAGAAAAGCGGGATCACGGATGGGGAGAGAAGGATGAGGGGTTCCAAGGAAATTCTGGAAATGGGAGACAAAGAGATCAGGAACCTCCACATTAGGGACCTATATACCGTCAGCATTTTGGATGGTATCAATATTATTCCGGCTGATACGGCTCTTGGCAGACTTATGGAAGAAAGAAGAGTTTTTATCTCCCTCACGGAGCCATTGGATTTTGGCTTTTTGCTTTAGGAACCTTTCCTCATCAAGGCAGGCACTATTATAGGCAGATAAATACCCACAGTGCTCCTCACGAAGGTCCACGTTATCAGGGTCCCTATCAAGGGCAATCTGGACCCTGTCGAGCTCAAGCCTGATTTTAGAGACATTAGAGAACAGGTTGCCCTGATCTTTGAGGAGCTTACGGATAGGGCCTTTGAGATTTTTAAGGTTTAGGAAAACCTTATACATCTCATAACCAGACAGGTCAGGGCTCCAGCTCGAGGCAATGACAGACTTGAAGCCTCTTTATGAGTAAGAAAATTAGGGAACTTGAAAGGCTTAGGCTTCCAAGGGGATCGGGAGGGAAGGGTAAGGACCGCAGGGCAATGGTCCGAAGACCGGTAGGGAAGAAAGATGACAGAAGCCGAAGGGAAATGAGCAAGGGAATGGGAATTCCCTAAGACACGGTCAATCTTTTTAAGAAGACCTCCCGTACCATTGGGGTTTTTAGACCAGGTAAAGAAGAGACCCTTGTAATTGACATCCTCCACCTCAAGGTGTCGGACACATTGACGAAAATCATCCATACCACGATTAGGGCCCGAGATGCCAGAAGAGCTGTCTTTAAGGTCAAGGGCAACATTGAAATCTCCCATGATAAACCAAGGGGCGTCCTTAACGACATTCTTATGGCCCATGAGAGAAGCCCATAACTGGCGACGAGCGATATGGTAATTATCCGCATAAACAACAGAAAGAAAAAGAATCTTAGAGGAATCACGRATCTTAACCTGAAAATGCATCACCTGATCGGTGGCATTTAAAAGCATCATGTCAACATGGATGGGGTTCCATGCCACAATGATACGAGTTCCTCTAAGGCAAAGGGAGCCATTAGAAGCCCAGGTCCAAGACCCGAAGACACGCTCACAAATAGAAGGAAGAGAAGACACAGAAGCACGCGACTCAAGAGCAGCACAAATATGAAGATTAGAATCACGGATGAGATCTCTTAAAGCTCTCTGGTGGGAGAGATTGCAGAGACCCCGGGTATTCCACGAGGCAAAGCTCGTCATTGGGAAACGGGGGAGTGGGTGGAGTCCATTAGCTCGGGCTCCTGAGAAGTCATCGGATCAACCTGGGGAGGGGGGATATCATCGGTAAGGAATCGGGCGGTGTCACCATCGTCCGACTCAACCTCAATCAACTCATCCTCATCAAGGAGGTCATCCTGATCAAGGAGAACATCCTCGTACACAAGAGGAGCAGAGGAGGGGGGAGGGGGAGAAGAGGAGGACCCAGGATCTCTAGGAAGAGACGAGTCAGACAAAACAGAAAACCGATTAGAATTGGGAGAGGGAGCCTTGGATTGATTTCGGGATGAGGAGGGGGGGCTAGAAAAATTGGGGGGAAGGCGAGAAAGGATGGGTTTCGAGTTCGTCGGAGTCTTGTTGTAGGTTTTGAAGGCGTAAAGAAGGGAAGAATGGGGAAGAAGGGTATTTATGGGGAAGACGGGTGGGGG